GGACAACACTGACTCCTTCAACCCAACCACACCACGGGCTCTCTCGCTCTCTCGCTCTCCCCCTCACACTCCCTCTCACTCTCACTCCCACTCCCACTCCCACTCTCCCTCTCACACTCCCTCTCACACTCCCTCTCACTCTCACTCCCACTCTCACTCTCGCTCTCCCTCTCACTCTCTCTCTCTCTCTCTGTTTCTTTTGCTCTCTCTCTCTCTCTTTCTGTCTCTCTCTCGCTTTCTCTCTTTCTCTCTTTCTCTCTCTCCCTGTGAGAGCAGAGCGCTTTCAACCTTCCAGCCGTAGAACAGCGACGGAGCCCTAAGGAGACCGTCAGAGCTGCGAAGCAGCATGCAATGCTGTGCCGGGCGGTGACTGCCTGTCGTGTCTCTTGGTGTTTTTTGGGCTAAATGGGCCGCAAGGACCTTCTCGATCTTCACGTTTTGTGGGAGTGGTTCCTGCAGGCCTTAAGCATTGTGAGTTCTTCTGAGGGCTCACGGAGGCCTAGTAGTTGCATGTACAGTTATTGTATGGTCGAGGTGAGAAGCCTCAGCGTTTTGTCAGGTTTGGTGTGTTGGATATCCATGGCGTTTGTGCGTGACTTCTGCTTAGGAAATCCCAACGTTTGTTCGTGTTGTACAGGGCTTTAGGTTCGTTTCCGCTGCTGTGCACCAAGGCAACAGCCCCTCCGACTGCACTTCTGTCAAATGCTTCTTGGCAAAGAGGATCAGGATCCCAATCTCAAAATCCAACCACGTCAGAAGGCTTTCCCGGTGCGTTCCCATCCCGTGCTCGGGCGGATCGAAGCCCATGCCTTGGAAAAGTGGTACGGAAGTGCTAAAGCCACGCTGTTTTCGCGGCATCGTCGGGTTGCCAACACCAGAAACCCTGACATTAATATCACGCGGTTTGGTTGCCTCGGAAAAATATGAAAAAACACCTATCGTTTGTGGGTTTTGTGGCAGTTGATGGTGATGATGGAGCCTTCTGCAGAGCCACGAGGACGAGCAACAATTCACCGAGAATCGGCAGGTATTCTCGGCAGACATCTTTCTACACTCTAGCTCAGTTGTTTCAGACAAAAACGGTCTGTGGAGTTAGGAGCGTTGTGTACTCCAAGCAACGTCTTGGGTTCAAATATCGTTGCTTTGACTGAAGAGATAACATGCATCGTCATGCGCTGCAGAGCGCAGTGTGCCTAGCATCTATATAGCCTTAATACCCCTAAGATGAACGAAAAAGGTCGGCACTCGCCGAATGAAAGGGGAAATTGGAGGTTCCTGCGGGAACCTTGCCTTTGTTCCGAGGCGGAAGCCATTCCCATGTCCAGTCCCAGCCTCTCTCACAGGTCATGACAACTTCTTTGACCAGGACGGTTTGGCAGCAAACGGCCCCAGCCTTGGTGAACGTGTAGATGTGGCCATCTCAAGAAAGCTGCATGGAAGGGAAGCTCGGAAGCGCTGTGACATGCTGTGACCGTGGCCTGAGGCTGCGAAGTGCTGTGTCCGAAGGTCGGCCATGCCGTGTGCACCAGCTGTGGACTGATGGAAGGCGGGTAGATGCGGGTAGCTGCAGATGCAATCAATGTGCACGCTTGAGTAGCGAGGTGCAAGAGAGCGGTTTGTGCCAGAACGGCGGCCATGATCACTATTTGTATTCTCTCTTTGTACTGATGCCTCCTTAGATCTTAGTATCACGAGTAGTTTTCTTTTGCTGCTGCGAAGGGGACAAGCGCCTTTGCACAGCGCTGGTCTGTGAGAAGAACTGGTTCGACGTGGACAGCGATGCCAGGACCAGTGCTGGTACGTAGCCAATGTAGCCCCCAGAAGCGCAACTGAAAGCCTACTGTAGGCTGCACTGCCACTGCCATGGGAATATGTCTACCAAGTCTGCCTGTGATGCTTGGAGCCATGTGGTTGCTTAGGCGCAGCCACCGGAGTATCACTTTCAAATCAGAAGTCCAGGGACGGCCGTTGTGGCATGTTTTCAGGTGCTACGAGCTGTGGTAGAATTTGGAAGAAAGATGGGAGCTCAGCGAATCTTAGCAAATCTTCGCAAATCCTGCTCCACGAAGCCGTGAGTCCGTGAAACCAGCATTTTGCCACAACTCGGTCACAGGAACGGCTGTGAGACTACGTGTCCGGTCGTAAGCCATGGCAGCTGTACCTTCTGTGCAAGGCCCACTAGCTGCACCAGCATCCAGGTTGGATAGTTTCGGAGACTTGTGTCAAGTTATGTCAAATTTCATCGTGCATCACTAGCACTCTTGTGTATCTTTCACATTTCAGACCATCCCCTCACCTGCGTCAAGCGCACGCTGTCCTTTGCATGGGCTGTTGCCGCAGCCCCGCAGGTTGGCAGGTGCTCCCAGCAGGGTCAGGTTGGTCATCTGCCCCCGCCGTCTCCTGGCCTTCTGAACCGTTCTGAACTCTCAAGGCTTTCCCGTACGACCTCTCCAGGATGCCTCGACCCTCGCTGCGGCGTGCCGGGCAGGGCGTGTCAGTTGCTCTTACTCGCTGCCGCGACGGCCAGCAGGAGCGGCGGAGCGGTCAGCTTGTGCAGAGGCATTGGACGCGTGCACTGCTGTGGCCGCGGGCTTCATGATCCAGGCCTGTGGCCGCGGTTCTACTTCTCCGGACCCGCCTTGCATTTTCGGCAAAGTAATTTTAGGTTGCAAGACTATATGCAAGACTGGAAGCAACAGAAGCGATGTTACGCGCGTGGACGCGTGGGCGGAACTCCAGAGATCAAGCCTGTGGGCTGCAAGCACGCCTGTCGCCGTGCCGCGGTCAGTTGACCCCAAGATGTTCCAAGTCGGAGCGGACGCCGGCAAGGACAGCAGAATGAGCAGAGTGAGCAGAGGGTTGCTGCGCACAGTGTGCATCGCATGTTGCGAGTGCCGGGGGGACCCGGTACCGAAGGCCAAAAAGGCCAATCCGCCGGTGGAAGAGCCGACAAGCCCGAACTCACCGTCTCGGGTAAAACTCGGCGCGTATCCTTGTGCCTCAGATGCCTAAGCCTGGTGCCGGATGCCGGAGTTTGGCAGCCACTAGTCCCGTCTCACTCTTTTGCGGCGCCTTCGCGTTACTTCCAAAATTTCATTTGTCACCACGAGTGCGCTTCGGGATGCCTTATTTTTTTCGGGTGTTTGTGGGTTTGAGCGCTTTTGCGTGCGGAGGAGATTGCTGCAAGTGCCACACCTGCTTGGTTGCCGAGATCTGTTTCGTTTTTTTATTTATGCTGTTGAGCTCACCCCGTGGCTTGCTCGGCTTGCTGTCGGACCCGTAGAGTCGGGGCTGGCGGCTCATGCCCTACGGGTGTTTGATGATCGTGGGGGGTTTGTGGTGCTATTTTGTGGCTCTTTTGGGGTGTTGCGCTCGGTCTGGGGTTGCCCTTGGTCCTCATTCATCCCGCTGCTGGAGATGGCTGCCTGCAGCATGTATTTTGGTGGAGGTGGAGAGATCTTTAAATTCAAGTCAAACTAACTTGCAGATGTTCCTCTACTTGCCTGGCTTTGATGGCTGAGGCCAGGTTGATTGTTCATCTTTCGTGGAATCTAGAAGTTTAAGGGGTTGACGGTTCTGGTGTTTCTCAACTGGGTTCCCAGCTGGAGCCTGACGAGTTCCGCCTTCAGGTTGATGTTTGGCAGGGATGAAAGCCAAACAAGGTTCCTCTCGTGTGGGCTTTTGCGACAACTCCACACCCGAAAATCCTGGCATGCGAGGCCACATGCCTGCGACAGCATTGCATGAATCTTGGCTGGTGTAGTTCTGGATTTGCTTGGGATCTGAGGCCGTTTCTCTGTGGTGGACTGTTTTTGCGAGTGGGGATCTTACACTAAATCTGATATCTCTATATCAGGCGATGACAACTGGTTTAACGACGATTGGAACATCAGCAATGGCTGCGAGGACCGAATTCAAGAGATGTCTCCTCTTTTCATCTTCTGGTCTAGAGGCTCTGGAGATCTCTTCAATGCGGCAACAGCCAACGTGTCCCGGGTTCAACATGTCGGCCAGGAGACCTGCCCACAAGTTCTCCAAGGCGCGTCATGTGCGGGCCGAACCCGGAGCCATCACAGCTATCACATTGCCGGACACAGCGTTCACGCTCAGCATGCCTCGGAGCCTCGCAGGCGACACAATCATGAAAAAACTGTGTAAACTGGCAAATGCCCGTGACATCGATGCACTAAAGGAATGGCCTCAAGTTGGACAGCTGGAAGCCAGCCTGCCGCCAGGTACATGTGTGTCCTGCGCAAGCTCGCAGCGATGTACAAAGATTGAGTGCAATCGAGCCGTGCTGCAGTGGGCCGGGTCTTTGGGTCGTGCCAAGTGAATCATGGTGATTTACTCGTGCTGTACCAATAGCTTTCATGATCACGATAGAACCCTGGCAAAAGTAGGGTTAGGATCTTCCAGACGACGTGGCGAAGCAACACGCTTAAGGAAACTACTTTGATGTGGATGGTCTCGTCGAGACTGGGTGTGAGGTTACCTGTCCGACGCTGGGCTCCAACACCATGGCACATTGATCTCAGCATAAAGCTTCCCATTCCTTGCCGGATAGATTGATTCGGATAGATCAGACTAGTGGCTACTGTCTGGAAAAAGCCAGTCCTTCGAAAAGGCCGAGGAGGCAATAGCACGCGAAACACTTTGGGAACGAGCACTCAAGCGATGGGAGCAATATGGAGCAAATCAAAGAATAAAGAGCTCAGGCGGGTGATCTGGGGCCTTTGTCTGAGCTGCTCCAGCCCCAGTGCGACGTGGCCGCAGCGTTTTGTGCAACGGCAGAGCCATCTTGAGGGTACGAGAGTGACGAGCTAAGCTGCTACATGCAGCTGCGACACAGATCCGTCAGATCCGTGAGATCCGGCCCCGACTTTTTGGGAAGTTGGACAAGCTGACATGACTGTAGCCGACTCTGCAATTCATGCTGCGCTCTACTGCAGGTGTCTGGGGGGCTCATTGCTCGAGCGTTGGAAGCAGCCCCGAGGTTTGCGATGAGCTTACCTCCTGCCCGCCAAACACCTTTAACTTCGACGGGAACAACTCCAACGGCTGTGAAGGCGTTTGTAAGCAGCTTGCTTGCAAAGGCGAGGTGTTTTGCGGTTATGCTGGGAATGTCTTCATGAGGTTTGCCAAACACGATCAGTCCCATCTCAGTGGACCATGCCTTATTCTCTTGAGTCTCTTGAGCTTGTGATGCTGCCACCCTAGACCCCGACGGACTCCTGAAAAAACTCTCCTAAATCCCAAGCCCCTTGAGACATGCACATGCCCTTGCCAGCTTCACAGGAATGTTACTGGCGGCACTTGCACATCCTGCACCACAACTGATAACTGCAAAGTGGTGGAGTGCTTCAACAATAGCTGCTTGCATGCAAAAGTGTAGCCTGGCAAACCTCATGAAACAGTTCACGGTCAGAACTCAGGCTGAGGCAGATTCTTGGGACTTTTCTTTGCCTTCTGTTTCGACACATCTCCCAAGCCCTATTGACGTGTCGAAAGACCTGCCTTGATCATGAGCCCCTTGTAGTTGTAGTGGTGCCGCGGTGCCCTGTAGTGTTGGAGTGGGCGCCAGAGAATTTTGCATCCGAGTCTGTGTATGTAGGGAATCCCGAGCGATCTACACTCCATTTCGTTTTCTCACTTAGCCTTCGACGTCGACAATGATGCCGAGACCGGTTGTGAGGTGGGCCATCGCGCTGTAGGCATTCAGCCTGGTAGTTCGAAGACTAAGAAAGTAGGAAATTAAGTAGCAAGAAAAGTTGCAGAGCTTGAATGCTGTCAGGCCGGCTGTTCCTCACCGGCCAATGCTGAGTGCGTTTCCTGCAAGAAGGTGACGGCCGACTTGTTTCGATTGCTTCCTTCGGGTTGAGATGGGTTGAGGCATGTCGGGTCGGTCTGAAGGGTGCAATCTTTTTCCTGAAGCCGAGCACAGCGGAAGCACAGCAAAGCCATGCAACAACTGGTTCAGGCTGATACCTGTGATCGGCTCCAATGTCAGCGCCACTGGGAATGAAGCTTTTTCGATTGTTTGCTGACTGTGGTGACCCGGGCAACTGCTGAAGAATCCGGTGAATGCAGCCATAGGCAAGTTGTTGTGATTCCCCTGCGACTCTCCTGGGAGAAGCATCACACCATCCGAGTCTTTGTGGGGATCTGCCGACATCCATTGCGTGGGGGGGAGGGGCACATCTTGGCACTCAGAGACTCAGGTGGCTTCTACGACGCGGATGGGGACATGTCAAACGGCTGCGAGGCCGGGCTGCCAGAGAACAACGAGCTGCATTTGCGCGACTTTGCGCGCACCTCACCCACGCCAGGTCAAAGTGGGCCCTAGTGCACAGCCACCCTGGCTTTCGCCACTCAGCTACATCTGTGGTCGTTGATGAGAAGAGCGTGTTCTGAGAAAAAGTTCTCCCCAGTGTTCTCCCAAAGCTGGCAAGCGACCCTGAGCACATTGGAGCATCGCGCCACATTCAGGTGAACTCACAAACATGAACATCTGAGTCCGGCAACTATGAGCTTTGCATTCGAGATGAGGTTCAAAGGTAAGAGAGTAAGAGAGGCGGCTTGAAGCACTCGTGTAGTGTAGGTTTGGCACAGCAACGACCATACATGCAGACACTAATTAGGCACAGCACAAGCAAGTAGGAGGAATCCAGCAGGCAGCAGTCCTTGAGATTGCAGGGTTTGGATAACGTTCTCGCATTGCAAAGCCGAGCCCCTTAGCTCCAAAGCCGCCACCGAGTGACCGGAAGCTCTCACTTCAAATCAGGTCGCGGACGGTTGGAAAAAGGAGGACACTTCACTTAACCGACTTAACCGTTAACAGACTGTGGCAAAGCCAGCGCCACGCCCAAGCCTCAGCAGATATCAAGCACATATGACTCATCCATCAAGTTGATTTCAGTTTGGACCCATGGAACACGCCCTTTTCCATGATTTGCCACTGGTTTCCTTCGGCATTTCCATGTTTGCCTGTGAGTGTGAGGGTCACCATTCATCTCTGCTCTGCTGATCATGCGGACAGTTTTGTGGAACCACAGATGTTGCTCTGTGTGTGTGTGTGTTCATGAGTGGGTCACGCTCAATCTGTATCCCGCAAGTCAACAGCGTAGTCGTTTGGCCGTGACAGAGCCGCGACTGCTCCATGGCCGTCGCCACTGCCATTGCACAGCGTTTTTTTGGTAGCTACAAAGCAAAACATGCTGAGCTGGCTCAGAGAGATGGAGACATGCCGGAGTGTTCGTGTTGGAGTTTGTGTTTGCCCTCTCAATGCAAGTCAGTCTCAGAGCGCAGGCCCCCATAGCGTTGGGGATGCAGACAAGGACATCTGAACAGATCTTCCCAAGTAGAGCAGATGGCGCGGAAGCATGGCGAGGAGGACCGATGTCACCAATCCTCCCCGAAACTCGATCTCCTTGAGCAGTGTTACTCATGTTCACCACTGAAATACAAAGATTGTGCTCCAATTCCAGCCAGCCCCCTGACAGCAAGCTGCTCACAAGTGATCGTACCTTCTTGATGAGGCATCGAAGAGCCGCCGCTGGTCTTTTGGCGTGGGCGAGAGCTTCAGATTCAGTTTGAGGCAACAATGTCTCGCCTGCCTTACACGTTCGCGATGCCTTGTTAAGCTCTATGCTTCTTGCAAGGAGACATACTGTAAAGATGGCTCAGCCAGGGCCCTGCAATATAACCTGAGCCTTTCAGGGGTGCACTTGCTTGTCAGGTGTGGAGTAGGAAGCCGAACAATGCCGACCCGACACGACAAGCGGGTAAAATATTGACACGAAAGCTGACTTTCAAGAAAAGACAGTTTTCCAGAACCGATTCTTTTCAAAAAGTGCCCGTGCCCGACGGCGTAAGAAAAGTGACTTTCGCCACAAAATGGTGTTCGAGAAGACTTCCTCTTCCCACATACTGCGCTGGCAAAAGCCGCGAGAAAGTTAACCTTACGCTCAACAGTGGCTTTTTGAAGACTGTGGTTTTTCACTGCGCGCACAAATCCGCGAGAAAAATGGCTTCTCGCAAAAAGCATTTTTTCGAAATAAGCGTTTTCCTAGAAGTTCAATATGGCTTTTCAATAGACTGGTGCCGCCGCGAGAAAATGACTTGTGGCTTTTCGAGACAAGTTGCTTTCCGAGACAAGTGGTCTTTCCAGTTTGCCCATAACACCCCACGCGTAGAAGATACACGATGACCCATGGCCCGGGGCGACCGGCATTGTGGTTGGTGGGGCGATGCGAAAAAACATCCATTGGTGATACTTCAGCGGTGCCTTTCGTGGGCGCTGAGCCCTGGAGCCCTTGCTCTCCCAAGCCTTGGGGTATCTTGGGCAAAACGCTTCATCCAGCGCCGAACCTTTTGCTCGCAAGACTTCGGTATTGTTTTGCCCAAACTTGTGAATTCCATTGTGGGATGCCACAAAAGACCAATGCACAGCATCTTCGAGTTACGGACCTATTTCATATAAACCGTTATCGTAGTGCCGGCTTAAACATTTCAGCTAGCAGTCTATGGCGTTTCCGGAATCTAGCTATAGGATGCTTTGCATCCCCCCCCCCCACACCACTATCTGGCATGCATTTGGTCTGTGCACACGCCTGCTGCAGTGGATGAAAGTTGAAACTTGGGACGTTGGCCACGACATGCAGGCTCGAAGCCGAACCGTCCATGGGTAGGTCGCTTGCGCGAGCTGTTTCCATGCGAGCCATGCTGGCCGTTTTCCTGTCGCTGTCACTTCCTGCAATCTCTCTGGCGTCTCGAGACGAGGAGCCTGAGACAACGATGCAGCAGATGCAGCTGCTCCAGCACCAGTTGGCCCTCGAACGTGCGGAGGAACGACGCTTGAAAGAAGCGCAGCCACTCCATTGGATTCACTTCCCGAAGACCGGCAGCTCATTCGTCAACACCATCACCCACCTGCCCGGCACTTGCCCATCATTGGCCAACCACGCCCTCAACGAAGACACGGTCGGTGGCGGCGCCTGCTGGCTGTCCCGCTGGCTTGAACAATGTCAGGGTGTGTGCAACGTGGACAAGTACTCTTGCCCTCAGCCGTGCCACGTTCACTACCCGGTAAGCAACTACTCTGCCCAGCGGGGACACTTGGTTGGAATGTTCCGCGATCCGGATCAGCGTATCCTGTCGGGCTACCATGATGATGCAAACAACTTTGCGGCATACACAGAAGATAACTTTAACCAGGACTTTGGCGGAAAGTGCAAGGGGGAGGTCCTGGAAAAAGTTCCGAAGAAACCCCTTTTAGAGTTCGCCGAGACATGGAAGGGCGGTATGACGTACCAGCTCGTTATGGAGCACCCGATCACTCTAACAGTGAATCCGAGCCGGCCCAAGGTGACGCTTCGGGACGCCTTGGAGGCAGCACGAAGGGTGCGCGAGGGCTTTGCCTTCGTGGGCTTGACAGAGCAGTGGGACCTGTCAATCTGCCTTTTCCACAAGATGTTCGGAGGACCATGTCACGCCTTCGAGTTCGAAAACACAAGGCCCAGCTATGCAGGGAAGAGCGCGGACCAAGACTATGATACCGCACAGCTTCAGGGGTGGCACGATGACATTGACGAAGTGGTGTATGCCGCCGCTTCGGAGGTCTTTCGCCGAAACCTCATTTTGTTCAACGTCTCGAAGGAGACCTGCGAAGAGTTCTGCAGCCACTGAGGAAGAGATTCGCCATTTGGCCAGGAGGACAGTCCGCCGTGCACACTGTGTGCACATACTGTTCGAAGGACCCTTTGCGCAGACAGCGTTGAGATGAGAACAAGTTGACCACTTGCTGTGCTAGGCTAGGCTCATTCACTGCCTCGGGAATTCTGTAAGTTTCTCCATCCTACCTGCACATGCAACAGCAAGCCCCGGCTCCACTCTAATATCTCTAATTGCTCTAATTCGCTGTTCCCTGCCCTTGGGGGGGGGAAGGTGGCAAAAGAGGTCACACCTTCATATTCACTTCGTATAAACACACCCCCGCTCGCCCCGGTGGTTGGCTCCACAAGTAGAAGCCTGTGCGGTCTATGTAAGAGCTGGGCGGCCCATGGCGGTCTTTTAACCCTTCACACTGAGCCCTTAACTCTTTCCGCCTGCATCATCAGCCGCCAGGTTTGTTTTTGGGTTGGTTGGTTGTTTGGTCCCTAGTTTTGGTAACTGCCAGGATTGTGCAATTGCGGGGGGCGGGGGGGGGAGGGTTCTAATGACGTTCTGGGATTGGATTGCCATTGCAGGGGGTTTTTTCCTATGAGGTCAACATTAGTAGCAGGGAACAGCGGCTGTGACATCCTGCACCACTGGTTCCATACTAGCAAGATAGCAAGATGACTGGCGCCTGTGTTGATTGCTTGGAATTGTCTGGTGGCTTGCTATCGTCCACTTGGGATGCAGGTGCTCTCGACATTGCTGGATTCCATTTTGTGCATGAGGCTGGCATGTCTGTCTTTGGAGATTAGCTGCCCTGGAGACATACAGCCATTCTTGCATCAATCTTGCTGGTAAGCAAAAATCTGCGTAAGGTTGCGGGCTGGGAAGTCCGTCAACGCGCTCGTGAAGGGGTGTCATGATTAGGTTGGATCTGCTCCAGTGTTCAGGTGATTCAGGTGACCCACACATCAGTGCGACTGCCGAGCGGATCCAGCAAAGGCGTTGCAGGCTGAGGGTTCAAAGCCAGATCCGCTGTGTTCCTTCGGGTTCAGGATCTGGGTGTTGTAGCCTTGACACTTTACGGCCTCTACGTGTTGGGGCGCCCGCGGGCGACGTTCAAGCTTGAAGCCGAACCGTTTTGCTGCAAGTGAGCTTGATGCTCCATGTCATATGTCTAAAGTGTATAATTAGATTCCAGAGGTCTAGAGGGTCAGCAATGTTCGATATCTCCACTTTCAAACCCGACATGTCTTAGTTGCCCGGTCGCCATGCACAAGACATCCGCTTTGGGCCGGGTGCTCGAGCTGTTGGTGGTTGCAGCCTTGGCAGCCACTGCTGACGATGCGGAAGCTGAAAGAGCTTTAGCTGAATCAGCTCAAGGTTTCCGGGTTGAAAGGGTCGTAGAGTCGTAGGCCTTGACACAGCCCCACGGATCCAGGCAGCCGGGTTCGAAACATGTCGTTGAGGTGCGCGCTGCGCGGAGGTTGCTTTCATCCAGCCACTGTTCTGCACGTGTGGTCTGCGTGGTCCGTGTGGTCGGTGTGGTCCGGTGTGGTCTGTGTGGTCTATGCTTTTGAGGTCTGTGCTGCGGCCTTTATGCCAGGGGTACGGGCTTCCCTGTACCTCCACTCATGTCCATGTGATTGCCGCGTATACGGGGTGCAGGGGCTGTCACTGATGCACTTCTGATACGCAGCGGGTTTAGAGTCTTTTGCTGATACGCTTCTGGTATTAAGCTTTCGGCTATGGCCGATGCGCTCCTGATGGCTTTAGCTGATATTGTACGCTAGTTTCGCTTGCCTGTCTTATGCTTAGCTTCCCGCTATCACTGATACGTTTTGGCTGTCGCTGATCTGCGTACGACGATACACATGTGTACTAGCTGTGGTGCAAAATGCTTATCGGATCGTCGTTTTGTGACGATACACACGTGCGCTCGACTCTAACTGAGATACAGATCCTGGCTGCGGTTAGCAAGTGAGATCGTGCTGGGATCGTCTTCTGCTTGTAGCAGTGTAACATTCGGAGTCTCTACTTCTGCTCGGGGGGGGGGGAGTTCCAGCTTCTAGCCGAAAAGCAGTGGTTGGACATGTTCGGAGACCCGGCAAGTGCCACAAGGTCTGCCCGATCTCTCTTCCACAACCTCGAGTTGGCAGAGCAAAAAGCACATCAGCGGCAATATTAACAATATTAGCGACCGAAGCGGTTCCTTAGTACTGCTGTTCTCAATGCATCCTGTTCCCCCAGAAAACCATCAGGCTCGCTTCCAGAGCTTCATGACTATGTTGTCGACAGCAAGCACATCAAGCCTCAAGGAGCTGAAGTGGCAGGTACTTCGGACCTTTCCCGCAGTGGAGGTCCAAGCAAACCCTGCCTGCAGCAACATTGGGGGGAGATTTCCAACCCTGGTCTCACGCAGCCTTGCTGCAACTTTGCTGCGCGAAATTGCACTTTAGTTTGGGTGGCTTTTACTGCGGTGACAACTTCCAACCCAAAGCCCCCTCCGACCCTGAGCCGCCTCCAACCCTCCAACCCTCTAACCCTTGGGACATCAATTTGTTGCCGCTTGAAAAGAGAGGCTCGCATTTTTCCCTAGCAGCCATCATCTGAACTTTCACTTTCCACATCAGGGTAGCACTTGTGACACTTCCGAAAGTGTGCCTTCGGCTCGATGCCTGCATGGGACGTGACGTGCTTCAGTCCAGCAAAGGCCCGGCCGCACAGTGTGGTCCAAGATTTTTGATCAATGCTCGATGCACCGGCTGTGGTCCTGTATGTCCTGTTGCACTTTCCAAAGAAACCGAGCCACTCCGTCCAGGATGGTCTCGGTGTGGTCCACCCCGTCAACATCTCAATGAATGCACGCCCTGCCTTGTTTCAGGTCAGTCTCCAATCAATTGGGTTATGACCGTGTAGCTGGCTCGCGAAACTCTGGGTGCTCAGCCACCTCCAACCTACTAATTATCACGAACCTTGTTTCGGCAACGATTTTGAAACCATTAGGTTTGCAAGGCGAGAAGGTAACAAATTCAAAGTTGCAGCCTATGACTGAGCCCTTTGTTCACATGTCGGGGAGGGGAGGCTGTGCAGAGGTTTCATTGTTTCTCATTGAGAGGGGGGGGGGGGGTGGAGGGGTTTGGCTTATCCTGTCCTCATCGTGTCTCCCGCATGTTTTTGGGATACTTCTGGATATCTCCACCTCCTCCGCGCTTATTCCTGCCCCCGCCCCCCCGACCCCATCCCAGGACTGTCCAAACGTGTCCAAAAAGCGTTCATATCCTCCACTTGCCCTGGTTGTTTCCTTTCATGACTCGGACAACTTCAGCAAAACTTCTGCAGACCTTCTGCATAAACAGGAAAGCCACGGCTAGTTTGGGTTCTTGCAGGCTCACGCTTGGCAGATTCAAGTGGCTTTTGGTTCGGTTCGCGCTTCGCGGAGCAACTACACGGCTCGCCAATCCCACAGCCCCCCCACACTGCCTATACCTCCACACCCCAGCCCAGTACACCACATCCCTACCCTAGACCCCTGGACCCTGCAAACCCTCCTCCACACCCCAAATACACTTCGTCGCCGCTCTGGACCCAAGCCCTCAGCCTCTGGGTGGGTTGTGGGCTCGGTGCCTGTGGGGTCGAAGTGATGTTATGGCAGGTGCAGGGGAGTGTGTGGGGGTGAGGGATGTAGGGCGTGGGGGCACGGGTGTGGCAGGGATGTGTTTGGAACAAAGGGCTAAGGGCATGGATGTGTGGGGTTGCACCGTAACACTATTTAAACCCGTCCCAGTAAAGAAAGCATAGGTTCCGGCGGGAAACCTGATTAAAATTGGGCAGGGCCAGGCACTTATGTTAGGGTATGTTTGGGTTTGCCACGCAGAGGTTGAGTGTTTAGGCTACGGCCTCAGCTCCTGAACCTCAACAGTTAAACCCTCAAGCCATTCATGATGTCCGGCCGATGTTTTTGGTTAGGGCTATCGGTGGGACGTAGTTTGGACGTAACATAGCCAACGTCAGTACAACATCTGCATAAATTTGTTTTTTTATGCAGAAGTGCGGGGCCCAAAACGCTTAATGGCATAAAAGCACCAACTTCTGCATACCTTCCGCATAACTTCTGCATAGGGTTTTGCATAATATGCAGTGGCCGCGCTACAGGCTGCACAATATGCAGAAGCATGCAGAAGTTGTAAAGGTAATGTTGATGAACTTCTGCATACTATGCAGAAGTTGGTGTTGCATAATATGCAGAGGCTTTGTTATAGACTGCATAATATGCAGAAGTTATGCGGAAGTTATGCGGAAGTTGGTGCTTATGCGCTTTGGACCCCGCACTTCTGCATAATCCAAATTTATGCAGAAGTCATGCTGAAGTTGGCCGCTGTTCGGGCGGACACTGCCGCCACCACCACCACCACCACCACCACCACCACCACCACCACCCCCGTGGGCTCTAGGGCCAAGTTTTGAGGGTCAAGGCCTCGAGTCTGAGGCCGTAGGCAAGCCCGAAAGTAAATGCCCCGCACCTCGCCCAAGTTTAAAAATTTGCCCGCCAGACCTTACGGTTTCTTTTGTGGAAGCAGTGGAGGCGATTTCCACATTATGTGCAGTTGACACCATCCCCCACACTCCCTCTCGACCTATACACCCGGGCCCTCTACACCACCTGCGGCCCCACCCACATAAGCCTGCAACAGCCCTGTCCTACAGCCCCAGACCCCTACAAGCCTGACCCCGTGATACACCTCCCCACACCCTTCGATTTTCGCACCCTCTCCTCACCCCCACAGCCCTTCTATACACACCCACACAGACTCCAAGAGCCCTCATCACACCCCACAGTCCAAAACCCCACACCCTGCGCCCTTACACCTCTTGAGCCTCTGGAATCCTGAACCTCTTCCCCCTACACCCCATGTGCCCTTTGACCCCCTTTCTTTCCTGACATCTGGATGCAAGAGGCCAGGGCCTGGGCTGTGCGGTCGGATAGCAAACCGGACATGCATGAACCGAGCAGGCCAAGAACCGAAACGAACCGCGGAACTGCTGTACTTCATCAAATTACCCTGCAACGTAGAACTAGCCAACCCACACTGCGTTCACATCATACAGCTAGTGTCAAGTGTCAAATGGCATTATGCGGCGTTCAAGATGCGTAAATATAAAACTGATGCAAAATTTGTTAAACATCAAGCCTGCAAAATCGGCACGTAAACTCCCCTGTCGCCAAAACAGTTGCTTTCGAGAGATTCGGTAGCTAAACTACCTTGTGCCCGTGGCAGCTGGGCACACCTTGCTCGGCTCTGCTAAGTTTCAATCCCCTACAACGCCGCCAGACTCTTATGGCTGCTCTAAAAAAAACCACGTGCGATTCTTGCATTTCCTGCGTCTGAACCTGCGCAGAAAGCGAAACATTTTTCTACCTGCCAAACCGCACCCGAAATGGGGCTCGTGATAATCAGTACTCCAACCCTAAAGCCCCCCCCCCCCCCCCAAAAAAAAAAACTAAGCCGCCCCAACCAACCAACCCTAAGCCCCCTCCAACCCTCCAACCCTCCAACCCTCCAACCCTCCAACCCTCCAACCCTCCCACCCTCCAACCCTCCAACCCTCCAACCCTCCAACCCTCCAACCCTCCAACCCTCCAACCCTCCAACCCTCAAACCCTCCAACCCTCCAACCCCCCAACCCCCCAACCCCCCAACCCCCTCCAGCCCTCCGGCCCTCCCGCCCTCCGGCCCTCCCGCCCAGCAGCCCTCCAGCCCCGGTCTGTAAAGGGCTGCGGAAGAAGTTGGGGTTGCCGAAGCTCCAGAGCTTGGTGGGAGGGGGGGGTTGTGGTGCTCGTAAGGAATGAATCAAGAATCCTTCTGGTTCAGCAGCAGGAGAGATAGGCACCCCACGGCCGGACTTAATCAATAGCAGTTGGATCTCGGGGGGTGTCTCTCTCTCTCTCTCTCTCTCTCTCTCTCTCTCTTGCGATCGTTCTGAAAAAACCCGGCAAAGTGATGGATTTTCCGGAAGTCTTTACTGTTAACAATCTTCACAACCTGACAGAAGGGAAGTCATTCACGAAACAAGTTGTTTGGCCGAAAACCCGGCCGAAAAAGATTGCACTCTTGCCACCTCCTTTTTGACATTCATCTGAACATTACTCTCGTGTCGCGGCTTGAATCGGTCCTGTAAAGTCAGAGCTCAGGCAACCAGTCTCTGCTGGATGCATATGCCACGTATGCTTGCGGGGATGCCGCGGACTACTTCGTGACGGACCCAGCCAGAAGCCTGAGCGCAGAACTGGCACCTCTGGAGGGTGGATGCATCAATTTGCCACTCGGACACAGTTTGCAGTCTCGGTCAGCTTGCTTCGTTCAAGCCACATATGGCCTTGAGGGCTGCAGGTCTGACGCGCTCAAACGTCAAGTGAAGTCTCGGGCCTGTTCCGTGGCTCAGAGCCCGGGCTGAGGCATAATCGATGGAGCACGATCAGGGCGACGTTCGCCTCGAACGAGAGCCATGGTGAGTACCTGCACAGGCAGCCGACGAGCTGGGCTTTTGGGTTTTTGTTTAGGAAGCTCGCAAGCGGGTTTTGGTGTCTAGGGCTTAGGGTATAAATTCAGGGCTCAGTGATTTGGGGTTCATAGGGCTCGACCTGGCCCCCTTTCGCCTGGTGAGGGACTGCCCGGAGAGCTGCTTGCAGGAGGCTCGACCAGGCTTTTGCACAACTCCAGTTGCTGAACATTCTCCCAAAGTTTAGTCAAGTCCACGGAGTGTATGATGGGTATGTCTGTCCTTCTTTGCTTGCAAGTGTGAACTGCTGCCAAGAATCTCGGGTCGACCGCCACTCATTTGCGAGAGGAGTTCTGGCACCAGCTGCCAACGCAAGTCGTAGACCATGACCTGCTCCCTGGCTTTGTTGCAGTTGTTGGTTGGCAGATTATTCAAAATCTGTGCACGGCGCATATACTATCTGTATATATATATATATATGTATGTATGTATGTATGTATGCACCCATCTTTCTAACCCGTAAGTATACTGTCTGCTGCATAAACAAAGTTTACCCACCTAGGACGCCGGGTTTGCCGTCGGGCACTGGGCGGTGGTGGAGGGGTGGGGGGTGCGGGGGGCCGGGGGGGGCGGGGCCAATTGGGGCCTGCCGGCTTTTGCCGGTTCGTGGACCCTACTTCGCTCTCCTTGCAGTTTCTGCCAGTGCGGTTTAGAAGCATCCGTGTCAACGCAATGATAACGTCCATGTTACCAGAGGTGGCAACGCATGCACTGAACTAAGTAAAGGAACTCTTCTCCGAAGCCCACACGGGCCTTGAAGTTTCCAATTTTTCCCGGATTTCGAGCCGAGCGATGTCTGTACTTTGAAAGGTTGGGTTGACCGCCCCAAAACGTCGTAAGAATACAGTGGCATGCGTGTGACGGCAAAGCATTGCGGGTACCTACACAAGGACTTGCTTACAAATCAGCAAAGACCTATATGCCAGCACCATGCAACAAATTGAAGAATGCAACATATCAAACGCAGTTTTCGTACCCACAAAATTCAATGAAAAAGCAATGTGCGGCGGCAATGGTAGTGTCCAGCGCGTAGGATTATTACGCTTGACTATAGTATGTACGATGCTATACTTTGCTGTACTATCATGCGCAGATGGTGTGTTTGCCAGTACATGCCGTTTCACTTTAGCCTGCACCGAGAGCGTGAGCCCTAGCCTTACACCCCTCCCAGAAACCTGAACCAAACATCAGACGAAAGCCCTAGCTGTTAACTCATGCCTGCCCATTTCTGGCTGAAGGCTCGTGCTCCCAAGCATCCCCGGGCCACCCGGGCCGCGCTGCTGCAGCTCAGGATTTACATGGCTTGCGCAAGGTTAAGCCCGGTTAAGCAGTATCTTAGGGCTTGGGGGGGTATACGCTGTTTTGGGTCAGGGTGTGGGGTTTGGGTCCAGGGAGTCAGGCAGGTGTTGTTTTTTTGGTTCGATGGATTTGGTTTCCCGTGCTTTTGAGGGCAACATTTCGGAGCAGACCATATGTGCACAAGTGAGGATGGGGTACCAGCACTCGCTCATCGACTTCCTACCGCAGGCTTGGACAGTGCTCGACCTGCTGTGGAACTCGTCCACGAGCCTATGTCAGAAATCTAGCAGAATGTTGTGATGGCTCTCCTCTTGTTCTCCGTTAGACGGCCGAAATTTCGGACGACGGAGCGTGGAGCTGCGAAAGGTTTGTCCGTTGCGACCGCTCCCAACCTGACCGATTTCGTCACTGATGCATTGCTATGTGTGACATTCGTGACCGCAGTACGCATGCGAATTCGGCAAGCGGCCAAAGCAATCCAAAGCTAGCGAGTTTATAAATAAGATCCTTGCGAACGCTGTGGCGACATTTGATTTTGCATGTGGTTTAGTACCCCGCCCCCCTGTCCATTCGAAATCCTGTCATTAAGAGGGTTCATTTCTATTTTGAATGTTGTTGTCTGTTGTTTCATGTGTTTTTGATTAGATCTGCTTGCGCTGAAGCAAAGCAGTTTTTGGTTTGTGCTTATTGTGTTTGAGTTGCGGTTTTATGCCAGTCACACCCTTGGCATGTTTTTGTGCGTTTGCCATTGATTTGGTATTTGCTTCCCCCAGGTCGTTTCCTTTTTGGTTTGTCTTTTCTTCTGCTGTGTTTCTTGCTTGCTGTTTGCGCTTGGCCGTTCTTTCTTTTTGCCTCCCTCGTACAGCTCTACCGTGTTCTCGGTTTTTGTTCAGCAGCTTCTGGCATTTTTATTGGTTGCCCTCTGCGTTTCATGCCTGATTCCTTTCGTTTTTGCTTCAGCTTTATGGAATGGGCCTCAACACTGTTGTAGAAGAAGTTGGCAAACTTGCGCTCACCCGGAGCGGCCTCTGGCTGCAAATTTGCCCGAAAAGGGTTTGGCCCTAAACGCCTGGCGGTTGGCCGCAGAAAACTGTGTTAGTCGGCTCATTCTGCAGCTCCCTGCAGCACAACCCCTCCAGCATCAGCCCGGGAAAGGTCCAACTCGAGCCGAGCGGCACAAAGATGGCACGAGTGCGCAAGACGCGCAGGCATCAAGGCGCAAAGGCAGAAGGCGCCTGGTGGCCCTGGTGGCCAGAGACAGAAGACAGTGTGCAGAGATCGGGTGCTTGAACTTGAAATGGTTGCGCGTTGCCAGTTCTCAGCGAAGCATGTCGAAACGGACCAAGGGTTTTCCAATATCTTGGCCCGGTAGATCTGCAAAGACTGCTGCAACAAATTTTCCCTGTGCCGAATATTGGTAACTCTTTGCGCTCGGCGGCCAGCGTACTCACAGACAAAGAGGGGCTCTGCTCGTTGCTCGATCTCCATGTGGGGCGGAAATGTGCCACAAGCCCCGTCCGTCTCACAAGTCCCTGACAGCATCGAATATCAGGCTAATCAGCATTACAAGCGAGCGGCTGTCCGCACCAAATGGCCGTGAGGCCGTGACAAATCGTGACAAGGTGTGCCCCGGCAGGCACCGACAAACTGAGGACTGCTTCCGGCTTGGGAGCTCCCAGCAAAAGTCAAGGACAAGGCTGTCCGACTGAGGACTGTTGCAAACATCTGCAAACCTAGTTTTTTTTTATCAAGACCCAGAAAGTTTTCGAAAATTGAACGCCAGCCATAGGGACTCTCAGCTGCTCTGGCGTGGATTGCGGGGCCTGCGACCATCCAGTTATTCAAGCGAGTCACCAGACAAAAACCCAACGGTTGATAAACCAATGGAATGTCGGTGTGTCCACAGGGCTCGAAAATGCTCGAAAACCATCACAAAACCCCCAATAGTTGAAGAGCAACTGCTGGAAGCTCGACACGTCTGCCGCGCCCCGAAACCACTCGCAAAACCCAATACTTACAGAGAAACTGACGGGCGATAGCGACGGCCCTCAGACAAGCCGGCCTCCAAGTCGATGCTCTGTTCAAGGAAGCTGGTGGTTCACTCCTCGCTTCCGAGCCATCTGCTGGCCAGCCTGGGTTTTCCCACAGAGCCCGGGCTGCAGGCTTTGGAAGGGAGCAGTGTGAGGGATGCGTGAAGAGTCTTGAACAGTGCGCTGTGCGCTGCGTGCGGCGCGAGGAAAGGATCCTGGAAGTTCCTCCTCTGACAGATGAACAGCCCGCAATGCTGCTGTGCGCGAAGAAGGGCCGGACCATGCATTTGTGGCGAGCCGGCGGTGGCTCCCGAGCGCTGCCGAGCCATCCGTACCAGGACAGCGGCTCTCCAGCACACTTTAGGCTCTGGGTTCTGAGCGCTTCAAGGTTTGGGGTTATCCTGCGGGGGAAAGATGGTACAGGCCTGAATCGGCGTTGTCTATTGTGGTAGAAACCGCCCGAAGATGCCCGAAGCTTTGCGCCCCAAACCTTAAACTAGACCTAAACGCATTCATTCAGCATTGGCACGGGCGGGCTCTGTCACTGAATCCCAAGTTTAACTTCCAAGGTCGGGTCGATGGAGACCTCTGGCACCGGCTCATCGATATCCAGGCTGGCAATCGTGTCATTCCTGCTTGCCACTGAATCCTGACCTGCGCAGACACAAGCCAAACCCCTTTAAAAGCTGAACCCAACTGCACCCTGAAAGGCTCTTTTCGTGGGTGTGAGCCCGTTCCCAGGTGGGCCCGGAAATCTCAGACGCCATCGCGCAGTACAATGGCTTCGTGGCGGCTGGTCTCCATGTTCAGGTAGTCTCAGTCCCTAAGTTCAAGTAGTCTCAGTCCCTAAGGCCCTAAGGTTTACGCCTATGCGAATCTTGCAGCCTGATAGTACTGTACGGATTTAATTTGGAAGACTTTGAACCCAAGAGTCCAAGAGGGTGTAACACGTCACCCTCCCAACGCAAAAATGTTTGAAAGCTCGATCGCGATGACCGGGCTTTCAGGGTTGACAAAACTGATGGGGAATCCCGGAACGGCAAACCGTTCAAGCAGCATCAGCCCCACTCCGAAGGACGGAAATCCAGAAGCAGAGCACAACGGAAGATCAACACCAGATCTGTTTAGTTTTTTCACCCTCAGCAACCCTTAACCCTCTCGCTGCAACCCGTGGGGTCGCTGGAGGAGGAGCCTTTCGCACCGCGCTTGGTGGTGTTCCTGCAGCGCTGCACGGACCGCCGGACCCTCGAGAACGAGCAGGCGGCGCTGGAGGCCATCAGCCGTGCCCCTTGGCCAAGTGCGGAGCCCTGGAGTAGGTGTAGGAGTTATCAGCTTCAGGTCGGTGGACAGAGCCCCGCGATGGAGAGAGTCGTAGGTTGCAGGAAGCAGTGGTCGGATGTGGCAGGGGGTCCTTGCTGAGGCCCTGGTCAAGTCAAATCGGCCGGAGGAGCTGCTGTCAATGTGCGCAGGCGCTGGAGCCCAAACAAGTGGACTGGATGCCCCTTTGCCAGTCACAATCTTGAGCAGCCTCTTTTCACACCCTACCAAAACTCCGGGCACGCGGAACAGAAAGCCAGGTCTTTGGCGTTTCTTACTTGATGGGCCCTCAGATGTCGAAGCTTGGCTTGTGTCCGGACACCCTGACAGGCCGCGAAGACTTTTTGGAGCAGGTCCAGAAGGCCAGCAGCCCACAGTTTGAGCTGGAAAGCGGACATGCAAGAATGTCAAGCTCACTTCACAACATGTCGTCAAACACAAAATGCGCTTTCAACTCCAAAGCTTACAGCATCAACTGCGTAAACCTTGAGCCCGGCCATGCGGGGGGGGGGGGGGGGAGGGGATGCCGTTCACAAACGTCATAGTGTCACAGTTCATCTAAGAGAATTTTCATGTCCCGTAATATGGCCCCTTGCCTTCCTTCTAGCGTTCTGAAGTATGGGCCCGTGGGTGTTTATTTTATAGGGTATATTATATAGGGGGTGAGTTCCCCATTAAGGGGCACATTTTATATGGGACCATGTACCTACCCGAAGATGGCACCAGCACACTCAATCCTCAACCCAAACGCACACGCCTGTATGTGCCGGTATGTTGCCCCGAACTGGACGAGAGCAGGTTCGACGGGCACGGCTCATCGTCGGCGCGCATGGAGGGGCGATGGCCAACATGGTCCTGGCACGGCCCGACACAGGCAGTGTAGGAGTGTAGGATCTAAGAAGTAGGTTGAAGAAGACGGGAGAACATATGGGAATGAACTCTCGGCAAGTTCCTCGCTTAGGTGAGGTGGTATTGGGGGGGGGGGTCGCAAGACATTGCTAGTTGGGGTTTGGGTCGACTGTCGAGGCTTGGCAGCAGCACGCCTGTGAGTCTTGTGTGGGGACTTCTGCTTTTTTTTGGCGGCTGACACTCGGAGGTAAAGTAAAGAGTCCAGTACTCGCCGGAAGGCGTCATCGAGCTGGTAGGAGATGCTGCAGCCCAGAAAGGCTTGGAAGGAGCCAAGAGATGCGGGAGTGTCAAGGAGTCTGTTCGATTCAGGCAAGGCGCTTCCGCTTCCGGGTCAAAGGCTGAAACGCTGTCAATCTTTGTCAAGGTTAGGCGTCGAGCTGGGCGATGCATGTGATGCCCGAGTTGTCAGCTCCAGCTTAGAGCAACATCTTGCAGCCTGAGCAGAGCTTGAATGCAGCTTGGAGCGAAGTCTTGGGCGGGCCGGGTGCATGGGAGATCGCAGCAGGACTCTGGCCACCCTACAAAAGATCCTCGACTGCACCCTTCAAAGGTCTTGTTAATTCTTGTTGGCAGCTTGGATGTTTCAGAGTAGAAGGCGTCGAACATGGCGACTGCATTGAAGCCTGAGGATCCCTGAATTTTGTTCAAGGAGCGTTCATGTGGAGCTCGGTTGAGGCAACTTCTACGGTGGACTTGGGGCCGCCTTTCCCTTCTACCGAGTGTCCTGGAAGCATCCTGGGCACCCTTTTGGGCCAAAGTCCGAGATAGAAGTTGGTGTTTTTGCATCCGTACTCATCGACGGCCGTTGGCCTTTGACGGCAAAACATGTCAGGTGGTCCTCTATGAGGCCGACCCGCACGGCAAGCTCTGGATACGCCTGGATGACTTGCAGACGGCTGTCACCGAGTTCCTGGACCGACTCTAGCGGCTCGGCACAAGTGGTTTTTCCAGGTCAGGGATTGTTTCCTGCGCACATGTGATATTGGGAGCTTCCGAGAAGGCTGGTTCTGTCGAAGACAAGGTCCGTCGGAGATGTGACAAACTTGACTGCGTCAAAACTGAGAGAGATTCAGAGATGTCGTGGCTGCATCAAAACGATAAGAGAAGTGTCAGGCACTGGACAACATGAAGACTTAAGAGACGTGAAACAAATTTTAATGTACCCATGCTTCAAGGGGTGTGTCAAGGAGCTGGATAGTATCAACGCTTTACGAGATATGTCATGAACTGTTCTGTGTCCAAACTGCGAGTGCTGGACTCTATCACAACTTCATAAGTACTTGTTACATTCAAATTGATGGTGTTGTCAATACTCCAAGGTATATGTCAACCCACTTGACTGTTTCACGTATTAAATGATGTGTGAAAACATCATCTGTATCAAAATTGTTAAAGTTATGTCAAGAGTTTGCCTGTATCAAAACTTCAAGAGATGTGTCCAAAACTTCTAGAGACATGTCAAAACCTTCCCGGATCAACAATTTAAGAGATACGTTACAAACTTGTTTGTATTAAAACAACCATTCAGATATCTTCAGCTGACATGTCAAGACATGGACTACATACCCCAATTCAGATATTTGCAATGAAACCCGGTCGTATCAAAATTTTAAGGCGTTAAGATGTGTTTGAGAGCTATGGAAAAAAGCTTATTGTGCTAAAATTTCAAGATGATACAGCTTGACAGTATCAGAACGTTAAGCGATTTGTAAAACTCCTTCGTGTCACAACTTCAAAAGATCGTAAAGATATACGGAAACAACTTGACTGTCTCAAAACACACAGGGTTCTGTTGTCACAAACTTGATCGCATATAAAAGGGCGCGGTCAAACAACGGCAGTTGCTTTGCAACAGACATGTTTAGGCTAGCTGGAAACCCTAAACCACCCAAGATGTGTTAGAGAGTTGACTCCATCAAAAACTTCAAGGGTATGCAAGCAGTTTGATTGTATCAAAGCTTCAAGAGATCTTAAGGAGACATGTCAAGGACTTGATTGCATCAACGCTCTCATAGACATGGCGAAAACTTGGCTGCAGCAGCATCAGGAGAGATATGTCAACAAATTGACTGCATCACGTCTTTGAGACGTCTGACTGTTTCAACACTTTAAGAGATATGTCAAGAACTTAATGGTACCAAGACTTGAAATGTGTCAAGAACGTGACTGGGTCAGTCCAACTTTGAGAGCGTCTAGCACCTTGACTGCGTCAAGACCTCAAGAGATCTGTCAAAAACTTCATTGCATGAACATGTCCCGAGATTTGCCCAAAAAATGGACGGCATCAAAACTTCAAATGATCTTCAGGAGGTTCGTCCAATAGAATGCTCCGATAGAACATTTGAAGGTGTGAAAACCCACAAAAAATCGACTTTGAAGCGCATGCCGGCCCGTTTTAATTCGGGTTTAGGCCCCCCCCCCCCCCCGCCGTTTGATCTTAAGCGGTGCATGCCTGTATCATTCTATGCGCAAATGATTGGGCCCACAGCAAACATGAACGAGAATGTATGAAACTAGTCCAAGGAAGCCGACCCCCGACCAACAAAACCCAAAAATTAAAGGCAGAGTCGCCTCTGAGTTCTGTGTAGGTTTGGAAACGTTCGGGGATGGTTTTCGCAGGTCTGGCCGCGGTTCTGTGGAGTCTTCGAAGGCACATCCTGCACCGGTTGTTGCGCTATCTGCACTCGCATGGCAGTGAATCCTGCCACCGGCAGCCCCTCCGCCCTGCGGCCGCGACATACAAGCTCGAAACCGAACCGTGCATATTTGGGTCGCTGCCTGAAGGGCGCGACCTCATCCCATGCGAGCTATGCTGGCCCTTTGCCTGTCAGTGGCACTCCCTGCGCTCTCTTTAGCATCTCGAGACGAGGAGCCTGAGACAACAATGCAGCAGACGCAGCTGCTCCAGCACCAGTTGGTCATCGAAGGTGCGGAGGAACGACGCTTGAAAGCAGCTCAGCCGCTCCACTGGGTTCACTTCCCGAAGACCGGCAGCTCCTTCGTCAACACCATCGCCCACCTGCCCGGCACTTGCTCGTCTTTAGCCAGTCACGCCCTCAACGAAGACACGGTCGGCGGCGGCGCCTGCTGGCTGTCCCGCTGGTTCATGGACCTCTGCGCCAAATTACTTTTCACGCTACGCGACCCGCCTCCGCCGGGGTCTGATTACCGCGTCATGCCTCAGGGCATTTTTCACGTATAGACCAGCTCATCTAAATCCAAACTTGTACTTGAGCAGGTGATTGAAGGTGCGCAGAAGGCAGGCAGCGTTTCAGGGGGGAGGGCAGGAGGGGGAAGGGGGCGCAGCGGGAGGGTACCAGAACTAGGGCATGGGTAGCCGAAGAGAAGCAAAGGGTTGCGGGGGAACGGGGAAACGAGGATGAAAGTGGTACGAAACATGCTCGCATTCGGTCAATACATAAACAAGGAGGCAATACGAAAGTTAGCTTTTGGAGGGGTGCAGCAGAAGGGCTTAGAGGGGAGGGGTTCCAAGCAGACCGACCTGGATCCCTCAGGGCCTTGGTCCAGGGGGAGCAGGCAGACAGGCTCGCCTCACATGCTGTCAAGGCATGGGGGGGGGGCGGGGGGACGGGGGCGGCGGGGGGGGACGGCGGAAATGCATGCCGCACTGACCACTCCAGGATGCTGCTTCATGTCCCCCGCCACTTACGGCCCGAAACCTCGGCAGATTGCCTCCAGCTTCGAATGCGCCAGACCCAAGACCCAAGCCTTTTATCAGCGAGGCTAATCGCAAAAATAGAGCTGTAGACATGGTTTTGGCATGACCCCCGTGGCTCTTGAACGACCTCACTCAGGCGCCCAGCCTCTTTCAACCGTCCAACCCTGGATTAGATAGTTTAAGGAGCTCTCAACTGAAAGCCTTGGACTCAGGAGCGCTGCCAACAGGAGTGTCACGCTGACCATTACATTTGCCAACGGTCATCGTGGCCACATGTCCCTCTGACCAGCTACGCCACCCAGAAGGGTCACTTGGTGGGAATGTTCCGTGACCCGGATCAGCGTATCCTTTCAGGCTACCATGACGAGGCTAACAACTTTGCGGCAGAGGGCTACGGCAACTACTTGATCGACATGTCAAGCCACGAGATCCAAGCGACAGGGGAGAACTGCACCGGATCCTTAGTGAGAGGCTTGCTGAAGAGGCCACTGCTGGGCTTTGCCAGTGCGTGGAAAGGTGGTATGACTTATCAGCTGACTGCTGAGCACCAAACCATGACAGCATTGGATTCGCGCAGGCCCACGGTGACGCTTCAGGACGCCTTGGAGGCAGCACGGCGGGTGCGCGAGGGCTTTGCCTTCGTGGGCTTGACAGAGCAGTGGGACCTGTCAATCTGCCTTTTCCACAAGATGTTCGGAGGACCATGTCGCGCTTTCGAGTTCGAAAACACAAGGCCCAGCTATGCAGGGAAGACCGCAGACCAAGACTATGATACCGCACAGCTTCAGGGGTGGCACGATGACATTGACGAAGTGGTGTATGCCGCCGCTTCGGAGGTCTTTCGCCGAAACCTCATTTTGTTCAACGTCTCGCAGGAGACTTGCGAGGAGTTCTGCAGCCACTGAGGCTGCAGATTCGCCATTTGGCCAGGAGCGCGAGTGAGACAGTCCAGTACCGGTGACAGGTCCTCGCGGCTCTCTCCGTGCACAAGTCGTGTTCGGTAGACCCTTTGCGCAGACAGCGTTGAGATGAAAACAAGTTGTCCAGCCGCTGTGCTAGGCTCATTCATTACCTGCACATGCAACAGCAAGCCCCGCTCCTCTAGTTGGCTTTTCTCTGCGATTTGCCTTGTTCACAGATAGGTACAGATTGGGCAGGGCATGATGCAAACGCTCACGAACAAGCCGGAATCCATCCACAAATGGGAATCAGGTGTCGCTTTGGCAACTTGAGGATTTGTTGATGTTCGGGTTTGCGACGCGAACTCTGTACGCATGAAAGGCAAACGCAAGAAAAACAAAACCGTTCCCGGTGCTCGGCACGAGATCCAGATGCCAAAAGCTCCAGTCAGCATGATGCGCTGCATACGGTAGCGTTGCATTCTTGTTTGTGGCTAGCTGAATGAATGAGCGCATGTATCAAGAAATGAGGGAACGAAGAGCTTTTTGTGACAGTATTCGGGACGATAATTCCTCTTTTCGAGAACGGATCTTCCAAGCACATGGGTGTGGATGGTGTCAGGTGACGTTCCCACGGAAGTCACACCTCTCAGCGGAGGCCTTCAGCTTCTCGATGAGTTTCGGTGAGTGGGGCACATCACATGCCCATGACAATCAGGGGGCAACTGCAATGGTAAGACTTCTACAGTCTTATCGTGGAGGAGTTACGGGGTAGACTTTAGCTGCTGGAGCGCTGCGGGATGGGGGATGTGTCGACATGCTGGCAGTAACCCCATCCCCCGCGTGAACCTGGCATGTCTGACGAAGTTCCGGGAGTAGGATGTTGTTGTGAGGAGTTCTGCAGCCACTGAGGAAGAGATTCGCCATTTGGCCAGGAGCGCGAGTGAGACAGTCCAGTACCGGTGACAGGTCCTCGCGGCTCTCTCCGTGCACAGGTCGTGTTCGGTAGACCCTTTGCGCAGACAGCGTTGAGATGAAAACAAGTTGTCCAGCCGCTGTGCTAGGCTCATTCATTACCTGCACATGCAACGGCAAGCCCCGCTCCTCTAGTTGGCTTTTCTCTGCGATTTGCCTTGTTCACAGATAGGTACAGATTGGGCAGGGCATGATGCAAACGCTCACGAACAAGCCGGAATCCATCCATAAATGGGAATCAGGTGTCGCTTTGGCAACTTGAGGATTTGTTGATGTTCGGGTTTGCGACGCGAACTCTGTACGCATGAAAGGCAAACGCAAGAAAAACAAAACCGTTCCCGGTGCTCGGCACGAGATCCAGATGCCAAAAGCTCCAGTCAGCATGATGCGCTGCATACGGTAGCGTTGCATTCTTGTTTGTGGCTAGCTGAATGAATGAGCGCATGTATCAAGAAATGAGGGAACCAAGAGCTTTTTGTGACAGTATTCGGGACGATAATTCCTCTTTTCGAGAACGGATCTTCCAAGCACATGGGTGTGGATGGTGTCAGGTGAGGTTCCCACGGAAGTCACACCTCTCAGCGGAGGCCTTCAGCTTCTCGATGAGTTTCGGTGAGTGGGGCACATCACATGCCCATGACAATCGGGGGGCAACTGCAATGGTAAGACTTCTACAGTCTTATCGTGGAGGAGTTACGGGGTAGACTTTAGCTGCTGGAGCGCTGCGGGATGGGGGATGTGTCGACATGCTGGCAGTAACCCCATCCCCCGCGTGAACCTGGCATGTCTGACGAAGTTCCGGGAATAATTAGGATGTGCTTTGCAGCCATAGAGGCAGAGACTCGCCACTCGGCCAGGGGCGCGGGCAGACAGGCTCTCGCCGTGCGCAGATAGTGTTTGAAGGACTTCTTGGGCGCAGCTTTGAGATTAAAACAAATTGTCCAACTGCCGTGCTAGGCTCATTCATTGCGTGCCGGCACATGCAACGGCCCTGCCAGCTCCAGGCAATGTGGCCATAGATTTACCTTGGTCACTTGGTCACAAATAAGTGCAGATTGGGTCTTGCTGTGCCTTAGTAACTTAGAAACAGCACCTTCGGTTTCAGTGGGAACAGCAGCGTCAATAACATTACCATACGGAGAGCACATTCCTGCCAAGATGCCTGGCCTGTGTTGATTGATTGAATGATATGATATTGTCTGCTATCATTCATGCGACCGCCCCCCCCCCCCCCCTCCCCCGAAAAGGCCTAAGCTTGAGGGGGGAAGCTGTGATTGCCCGTTCAACCATGAGTTGCGACTGCAAGGTGAGCCACGGCTTCTCAGTGGCCACACCAGCAGAGGCATCTGGCATTGCTTGACTTGGAGTGCATCTGAGTTCCAATGTCGGCGCGTGTTGCTGAAATGATGTTTGACGGCTGAAGGCTGCGGCCTTCTCTTGCATGGTCTTCTACCGTGGCTGTTCATGGGTCTTTGTCGGTTTACTATTAGATCCTTATTGAATCTGTGACGCCCGCTGCCGGGGCCGAGACAAATTAGCATGTTTCTTGTTGTTGCTTTGCGATCATTGCGTACGATTGTGCATATTACGATCATCGCTACTGGCATCATTGCCTTTTTCCAATGTCACAAGCATGTTGTCGCCATTGTAACTAGCTTTGGTGTGAATAGACTGCTGTTGCCAGAAATGAATTGTGCCACTGGCCACCATACTCGCCAGGTGCTTTGCAAGAACAAGCTCGGAGTGCTGTTGGAAACCTTGGCCGCATTGGGACGAGTTGATCGCATTGGCTTTGTACTTTGACTTGTCGAGACTGCGGAGGATGACGCGGATGGCAGCGAGCAGGATGAAGAGGATGACGCCATGACGTTTGACCTGCTGCTCACCCATGGCTCAGCATGAACGTGGTTTGGTTGCAGCGCCAATGTAACACGTGTACGAGCAGAAATAACAAACACTGGATGCCATTATAAGATCTAGGTCAGATGTCAGACGAATGCCTCCGGATTGCTTAGATTACAACGTACGTTGCGGCTGCGATCTGGGAAGAGGGTTAGATCGGGTATGGACAACCCACATCAACCCACTCTATCCACAAACCCTTCATCCCATCTGCCTCACTTAAGCCCTAAACCCATGTGCGCCTAAACCGCAGGCCTTCAACCCGACTGCCCGACGGCTCAGGTCCACTATAATGATGTGTGAGGCTCCTAAGGTTAGGATCCAGCGTGTGAGGGGGGTTTTCGTGTAGGAACATTCAAGGCCACGAGATCCAACAACGTTTGTAGCTCTGCAAAAGATTGCGCTGTAGGACTGGGATAGCGGCTGTCAGACAGGTTCGGTAACGCTTGCACCGCAGCTTGGGTTGCTGCAGGAGGTGTAGTGATGCTGGGCCTTGGTGCTGGTGGTTTCCATCCACTAGCACCGTGGCTTTGCGTCGC